GCCCAATGGAAGGGGTGTGGCAGAGCTGGAGGGTGTGGCCCAATGGGAAGGGTATGGCAGAGCTGGGGGTGTGGCCCAATGGAAGGGGTGTGGCAGAGCTGGAGGGTGTGGCCTAATGGGAAGGGTATGGCCCAATGGGAAGGATGTGGTGTAGCTGGAGTCTCCCCAATTTTAAGTATATCCTTTAGCTGGACCCAGCTGGAGGTATCCTGCTAGTGACACCATCCTGCATGCACCCCCCCACCTGCAGACCTCCCTCAGTGACTTCTCACAGAGAGAACTGGCCTCTGGGGACAAAGTCACAGCGCACCCTGGCTGCCCCATCAGGGTCATGGCCCTGGGGTCCCGGGACACAGGCTTCCCTGGTTGCCTGAGGCAGCCAGAGCCCCTCTCTGGGCCCAGGCTCAGGAGTCCAGTCTCATGGTGAAGGTGGGTCCTGAGCTCCAGGAGCGGAGCCCGAGTGGCCGCAGCAGGCCAACAGCAGGTGAGCTGGCAGCACTGCCCCGCCGGGGGGGGGGGGGGGGGGGCGACTGGAGGTGAGAGGATGAGGACCAGGGCACAGGTGGCAGGGGCCCAGGACCCCGAGGCCAGAGGCCTGGAGCTGACCAGACCCTTTTACAGATGGGGAGCCGAGGTGGGCCCCAGGCAGGGGCTCCCCAAGCCACAAGTAAGTCAGCCTGGACCAGGCCTCCACCGCTCTCTTTCCACTGACCACACTTCTCCCTCTCTCTCTCTCCCCACCCCCCCTTTCTCTCTGTCACACACAGACACACACACACACACACACACACTGGTCAGCCATCCAAATTTCTGATATACACAATTGGCAAAGCCCCCCCCCCATCTCTGTGCCTTCTGGACCCCAGGAAGCGTCCTGTACCGCCAGGTGCCCAGGGACCCACCTGTGCTCCGGAAGCTGCTGGGGGAACTTGGGGACCTCAGAATCCCAGCAAGGGAGAGCCCACATCACGGCAAGGGAACTGAGGCCTGAGCCACTGGGAGGGCCTTGCCTGTCCCAGAGCCGGGGGCGGGCTTCGCCCCACCCGCGCCCTCTCCATGTTTCCACGGCTCCAAGGACTAATTAGAGAAAGTTAAAACAGAAAACAGGCTTTAATTGCCTGTCGGTGGCAGATGCCAGGGGAGCCGTAAACCTTGCGGATCTGGAGCGCCTGCCCAGGCGGGTGGCACGGGGAGGCTGAGCCGGGCCTCCTGGGCCTCGCTGAGGCTGGGGAGCTGGCCCCTCTGTGCCTGCTGACAGCCAACTGCTCCTCACCTGCCAAGCAGGCTGCCGGGTGCCAGAGCCAACTGGGCCCCTGCCCAGAGCACTTTCCAGAAAAAGCCCAAGGCCCCCTCCCTCCACTGACCTGCCCCCTGCAGGGGGTCCTGTTTGTTGCTTAAGACCCTGGAAACAGCCCCTTAAGGCCTCCAGAATGTGCGGTTTGCCCTGGGCCCCGCCCGGGTGGACCCGCCTGGCTCCAGCTTCCACCTCCCACGTCCACCGCGGCCTCCTCGGCACCCTTCCTGCTGGCCCCGGGGTGTGGGCAGGGCGGGCGGCGGCCCAGCTACGGCGTCACCAGGCTGCCCAGAAAGACGAGGCTGCTGGGGGCGGGGGGGTCGTGAACCTCTGCTCCCCAAAGAGTCAGCCCCTGAGAGCAGGCACCCGGCCCTGCCGACCTGTCACCCCTCCAGGCTGACACAGGGCCCCAGAGGGCTTCTTGAGCATCCATGGGGCCTCCAGGTGGCTGAAGGGGGTGGTTGGGGGGGCACTGGGGTGGGTGGATGGGGAATGGGTGGGTAGGCAATGGGACCCTGCTCCTTTTGAACCCTGCCTGTCCCCCTTCAGGGGCTTTTCCTCCCCACTACTGAGGACTGAACCTGGGGTTGCTTTATGACTTAGCTACACCCCCAGCCCAACCTCCTGCCTTGTTTAAAATTTTGGGACCGGGTCTGGCCTTGAACTTGCAATCCTCTGGCCTCACCCTCCTGAGTGCCTGGCTCCATACAGCTTCTTACAGCAGCCCAGAATGCCTGGCTGCAGGAGTGTGAGAGGAACACACCGAGAGCCACGTGCCAGGGCCTTGGTGACCACGACCCATGGAGGCTGTCTCTGGGGACTCAGCTGTTGTGTCAGAGGTCTCTCTGAATGTCACTTCTACAGGCGTTTCCTCTGGGGCAGGTCCCCATTCCCCAGAGAGGACCTCTCCCCTCTCCAGCTGGGGCTTCTCCAGCCTCAGGAGGGCCCAGTGGTTCCCACCTCCCATCCCTCCTCAGTTTTGCTAGCCTGGGACTGGGCGCCTGATGCACTCCATCTTGCAAAATTTTTGTCCTTTGAATCTTTTTTTTTTTTTTTCCCCTTTGGTACCAGGGATGGAACCCAGGGGTGCTTAACCACTGACCCACATCCCCAGCCCTTTCTCAAATTTTATTTAGAGACAGGGTCTCACTGAGTTGCTTAGAGCCTCGCTAAGTTGCTGAGGCTGGCTTTGAACACGGTCCTCCGGCCTCAGCCTCCCGAGCCCCCGGGATCCCAGGTGCACGTGCCTGACCGTTCGTTTGCTGAGGGGGACCCTGCGCTGCCTTTCTCTTGTGTTGGTGGATTTTCTACTTTTGATTTCTTTACCTCCCAGTCCTGGGAAGGGCCGGAGGGGAACATGTGTGTTCAATCCACCATGTGAAACCAGAAGACCACCCCCGCCCCCACTGCGTGTCCTTTATAAAGTCCCTTCTGGTCCCGGCATCAGACAACTGTATACATTCCTCTAGTTGTTTCCCTGTTCAGTGTTTATACCTCGGTCTTTAATCTGTTTTATGGATCGGGGTTGCTGACAAGGTTTTATGAGGGGAGGGGAGAGTTTTATTCCCAGAAAATGCTTATAAACCACTAATTTGGTGCAGACAAGGGCAGAAGGGAGGGGTGCGGGGGTCCCCTGGGGCTCTCAGGGCTCCTTCCCGGAGACCAGGTAGGGCTGGGGGGACGGCAGGCCAATGTCCTCCTCTTGCCCCGCGGCTGGACATCCCGGGAGGGTACAATCTGTACCACCCCTTTTTATGGCCCAGGACCCCTCGTGGGGTCCATTTCAGAGCAAGGAAGTTAATAAGGTCCCAAACAGGAGTCCAAGGTCCCGTGGACGGTGGCAGCAAGAGGCCAAGCAGCCTGTGGCCCCCACAGGCCACGTGGGACCTGCTGCCCCACCCGAACGCCTCGGGAGCTGCTGGGAGTCTATTTAGGCAGAAGGGGTTCCCCCAGAGTCAGGCTTTGGACTGAAGGGGGGACAGAGAGGACACGAGGCCACCCTTGAGTTCCTGGGCAACACACGCTCTTCAGAGCCACCTTGAACCCTCCGTCTGCCCAGGGAGGGGTAAGCAGACGTTGATACATAATTGCAGCCCAGGAAGCTCCTGCCCCCTGGACACAGGGCTCAGGGTGAGCTTCCGGCATGCACATCTGGCCTTTCCCCTGCCCAAACCCTCCAGCACCACCCGCTGGCTCCCGGGCACTGCTGTGCCTGGGCGTTAGGGCCCCGGGCACCTCCTGGGTCTCAGTGGTCCCCAGTGTGTGGGCTGCGGACTCTGCCCTGTCCTCGCTGAATCTGGCCACCAACCTGCAGCTCTCAGGCCTCCCCTGAGCTGCCTCCCCTCAGAATGTCCTCCCTGACTGACCCCATCCATGCTGGCCTCAACGTCCCCTCCCCACGATGTACCCAGATCCTTCTGCCCTAGTGACCCGTGTCTGCCGGCTCAGCTCCTTCCCCAGACTGTTACCACTTACCCATCCATGATCAGATGTTGTGTTAGCCCCTGAGACCAAGACCCCCATCCTGTGGCACCCACAGGCTGCGGTGTCCCCTGAGCTGCTCGGTGCCTGGCCCAGAGGCACACTTCTCACTGTGCAGTGATGGCACGATGTGCGGAGGCTCAGGTCTGGCAGGTTGCGTGGAGGAGGGGCCCTGAGCAGAAGGCCCTGAAGGTCGAGTAGGAGTTTTCCAGGCTTCCCTGCCTGACTGCAGAGGCTGCCCTGGGCCTGGCTGCCCCCTCCCCAGGGTCCACGTTCTGACCTCTGGTTCCCCTTGTCTTTCAGAATGCATGAACTGTACCCGGCTGAGTGACATGAGTGAGCGGCTGACCACGCTGGAGGCCAAGGTCGGAGAGGGGGGAGCCTGGGCGCGGGGAGCTGGGAGGGAGGGGTCGGGCCCACAGCGACGCGGGCACTTGCTGGGTGTGGCGAGGCGGACCCAGCCCAGGAGCCCAGCAGCCTGAGCAGCACGGACCTAGCCCCTGGGTGCTGCTGGGTGGCCCCCAGGGAACCTGCTTGGGCTGGACCAGCCTCCTGGGGAGGGGGAGGGGAGGCTGGGTGTTGGCAGGACGAGTGGCACAGAGCCCCAGACCCTGGGGCTGCCGGGTGGACCCTGGAGGTCAGGGCAGTGTGGCTGTCTCTCCAAGCGGCGGTTCCCAGCTCAGGCTCTGCCCCCTCTGCCCACCGCCTGCCCTGGGCTGGGCACAGGGGAGTGAGCAGAGCTGCCTGCCTTCAGTGGGACACCCAGGGACATGGGCTGGTCCTGGGTGGGTCCCCAGGGGCAGAGGGACTCTGTCAAGAGCCAGAGCTTTGTTTGGGAGTGGCCGCAGCAGCGCTGGGTGGGGACGGAGGGACTGTGCTCAGGACATCGTGGGCCACCCGGGGGGCACCTGCCACTCAGCCAGGTGGGGGCTGCGTGTTGGAGCCGCCCGCCCGGGAGGGTGAGGCCAGGCAGCCTCTCCTGCCCGCACCGGAGGCTCCTCGGCAGCGTTAGTCCCTGTCCCTCCGGCCTGCCCACCCCTGCCCACCTGCTGAGTACATTCCTGTGGCCACAGAAGGGGCTGGGCAGAGTCACAGGTGCCCGCAGCCAGAAACCCAGCCTGTGTGGCCAGGGCGTCCAGGGGGAAAACCAGCGGCACCTGCCCTGGCCCCTCCACACCCGGCAGCCTCTAAAGCAGGTGATTAGCTAGAGGGACCTGGAGAGGCCCGGGGGACACAGCTGAGCCGCCTCCACGATCCGTGGGGCCTCCTGGAGCAGTGGGGACTACCGAGGTGGCCCGGCCCTGCAGAGGCTGGGCAGGAGCCAGGCCAGGAGGGAGCTGGGCAGGACCAGCCGGTGGGGGCTGCAGTGACCACGAGGGACCCGCAGTCAGCAGCGTCTGCACTCATGGGGGTCAGTGCAGGACCTAAGGGACCCCAGGCCACTCACGGCTGCTGTGTCCCGTGCCCTTTGCAGGCCAGCAGGCCCCCAGGCGCAGGCCTAGGGGTGGGGGTGACAGGCTGCCCTCCCGGGGGACAGTAGCACCCAGGGGTCAGGGTCCAGGTCAGCTCCAGATGGGCTTTGAGGGCGTGGGAGGATGCCAGAGACCTGGCGCTGGACTCTAGGGCAGGTGGGGCTGGCCTGGCAGACAGTTTCCACGCCTGACACCTCGGCGTTTTGGCACAGAGGAGAGTTGGCGGCCACCCTGGCCCTGCCCAACCTTTGGGTGTTAGAAGTCACAGTTTTCGGGGGCCTGGCACTGAGCCACCAGGTCCCCCCCACCTGGCCCCACCCTGCCCCTGCCATGAGCGTCCTGGGCCCTCCCTGCCCCAGGCCCCAGCGCCCCAGGGCAGGGCAGGGGGCTCTGTGACCTCGGGGCTGGTGGCAGGGACAGAGGACAGAGGAGGGGTCAAGGAGGAGCCAGGTCCTCTGTCCCAGCAGCCCCTTGCCTTGGCAGCCCCCCACTCTGGGTCCTGCCAGCTCCAGGGACCAGGGAGGCTGGGGCCACCTCCTGCCCCCCCAGGTCACTGTGAGGCAGGTCCAGGGTGGACGGCTCTTGGTGGGGGCCAGGGAGGGCGTGCAGAGGCAGCCAGGGAGAGGGGCCCAGCCCCGCAGCCGTCCTCCACCGGACAGTTGCCTGGATTCCCCAGCAGAGACCCGTCTCACCTCCCTGTTGGGCCCAGGGCAGCCGCCAGGCAGGAAGACCCCAGACAGGGGTCAGAAGCCAGGAGGGACAGCCACCACCTTGAGGCCTGGAGACTGGGGCTCCTGCTGCTTCAGGCAAGGCACGTCTGGGTGTCAGAAAGGACACCCGTGACCGAGAACAGCCAGTGGTAGCTGATTCCATAAGGATGTTTGTTCCACAGGAAGCCCAGGAGCAGGTGGCCTCAGGTCTGTCTCTGAGGCTTGGAAACCAGGCTCTTCATGGCCTCTTCCCCACCCACACTTCCTTAGAGAATGGGTTTTTGTCTTCACATTTGGTGTCTCATAGTTACAAAGTGGCTGCTGCAGCTCAAGACCACACATACTCACACAGTGTTCAGTGTTAAAAGGCAGGAAGTAGACAGTGAGACAAAGCACCCCAAAGACTCATTATGTTCCATGGGCCAGCGTTGGGCTGGCTGTAAGACCACCTCATAGTTGCAAGGGAACTGGGAAATTGAGTACCCGACCAAGCAGAAGAGGATTGTTGTAATTGGTTGAGGCCAGTCATGGTTCTTCCTCTGGGCCACACGCACAGGCGTACATTCTGGAGCCAGGGAAGAAGGGGCAGCTGGGGGCCAGACAGCCATCAGGGTTCACCTCGTCTTCACTTCCCGCCACCTGCTTGTCCCGAGAAGGCCGCAGGGCCCTGGGCGGTGCCAGCCCTCATCCACTCCTGCCCCGCACTTTACAGCCTGACCTCATGGACCACATGAAGGGACTTCCCTCTGTGGGGGCCACAGCCGTCTCAGAGCTCAGCCAGGCTCTGCGTAGGAGGGCGGTGGCCTGGCCAGGCAGCTGGGCCACAGTGACGTCACCAGGGTCTCTGCTCCCCAGGCGGGTCAGGTTTTCCTGGGCTGAGTCCCCACGCCCACTGCCACCCGCCCGGTGAGCTCACACAGGGCAGGGATGACATCGCTTCTCCAGGAGGGTGGCCACCCCCGGGCCAGGGGCCCTGGGCTCTGGCTGGGCCTCATTCTCATTGGTTGAGGTCCAGACTCTGCTGCCCAGGTCTGTGCTCTGTGGCTGGCAGAGCCGGGGGAGAGGAGTTCAGGAAGGGGGCCATCCAGGCCAGACGGCTGGGGTAGCGGCTGGAGCCGGTACCAAGGACACCAGGGCCGCCCCATCCCCAGAACCCCCAGTGCCACCTCCCTCCACTGCCCTTGGTCCGTGTCCCCCTCAGGTGGCTCCATCTTGGCACCAACCCTCAGGTTCCCCCAGGACACGGCCACTCAGCCCACATGACTGTGCTTGTCCCCGGCACCCCCGGCCTGTCTGCTGAGTGGACGACCTGCTGTCCCCAGCAGCAGGGCACCAGTGGGGAGCAGCCTTCGTCCGCCGTCCTGGCCCCTCCGTCCCCTGTTCCCGCCCTCAGGTGGCTGCCCTAGTCCACCTCCTGCCCCCCCCGGCCAGGGCCTTCCTGCCGCTTGCCTGGCTCCTCCGTAGAGCCCGACCTTGGCCTTGGCTGACCGGCCAGCGGTGCTCAGCAGTTGGAGCCCCTTTCTGCTTTGGGGGGTCCCGGGGTCCACCCTGAGCTCAGCCAGCTGCTCCCTACTTGGTGACTCCATGAAGCTTGGCCCAGGCGGTGGCTGAGCCGTGGGTGGGACAATCTGTGGTCTGGTGGGGGAGGCACTGGGTCCCTCGGCCCTCCCTGTGTGACCTTGGCAAGTCACTTGCCTTCCCCGAGCTTCTGTTTCCACTTCATGTGCCACGTGACCAGCAACCTTCCTTGTCTTTGAGATCTTCTAAGGACCAGAAAGGGAAGTGGCCCCGGTTGGGGATGGGGAGGAGGGGCTCCCACTTGCTGAACTGCCCAGGGGGGTACTCCACAGCTGCACCCCGTGACAGCCCAGCCAGCCTGAGCGCTGTGAGGACGCAGCACCCCTCTGCCCAGGCCCTACCCTGGAGGGTGCGGGGCTCTCAGGACACCTGGCCGCTGCTCCCAGCCCAGGCTCGCAGCGCCCCCTGCTGGCTTCTCTGGGGACAGCAGGGACTGTGGGGCCTAAACTTGGCTCCCAGGAGCTTTAAGGGGAAGTTTGCTCCCCAAGTTTGCTGTCCTTGACTTTGCCTGCCTCGAGGACAGAGGACAGGGCTGTGCTCCAGGCCAGTCCTGAGGAGCTACAGCCACCCGTCTCCCTGGATAGGACCCTGGAGCCCATGCACTA